AAAAATTTTAGCCACTGGTAGATTGCCCATATTCCAGTGGATGGAGCAACACTAATTGGACTTAAAAGAAATCATGGAAATATGAAATTGGAATGGGGACATGGGGGAGTAGAGGATCCAGGGAGAGTAGGAGAGGGGAACTGGTGATGAATATGATCATATTTAATTATTTACATATATGAAATTATAAAAAGCTTAAAGATCATATGCTTTGGAAAGTAGGTCTTGATATAGTGATAATTTTTATATTTAGTAAAAAGTCCCTTTATTTAATCTTGCAAGGAATCATTTATAACTTTAGGGATGTTCTTAGAAGTATTACATAAACGTATACTTTAAAGCTATTATTATTGTTACCATTAAAGTGAAATCTGTCCAGAAAGTTAATGCAACTGGTGTTTGTTTAGTAGCTATTCCAAAATCCACCAGTAGGTGGAGAGATTCTTTGCTAGAGTTTAAAAGCCTACACACTTTAAAAGCGTCACTGAACAAAGCAAATAAAAAAAATATAACTTTTGTGGATTTCAATAACTTTTATAATAGCTCTAGAAGAAAGTTAATATTGTTTAATTCATAATAGGGGAAAATGAAGTTTACAAGTATTCTTGTTTTCTATTTTCCTGTCATAAGTATTTTGTACAGTTTTAAGTTCAGTTCTGTGGTCCTACTTAGGTAGAGCTAGGCTCCTAAATTCAGTAGGTTTAGTTTTTGCTAGCTTCCTTGCTTGTTTGAGACAGGGTTTCACTCAGTAGTACAGGCTGGTGTGGCATTCTGGGTATCACAGTTACTCTCAAATTTGGGGGTTATGTTCCTGCCTCTACCTTCCAAATGCTGGGATTACAGACATGATTATCACATTTATCTTAAATTGTCTTTGCCATTCTATTTTCAAGCTCAGATAAAGACCATCAAATCCAAGGAATATGCATGTTTGAAATAAAAACAGAGTTTGGGGACGAGGAGAAGAGGCAAACATTGGTGCCATGTTTTATAATTACAAGTTCAGTGAAAATCTATAGGGTTGGGTAAACCAGTACAGTTCCAAGTTTGTGAACTGAATTACTGTTATTGCTTTTAGGTGTACTTTCAACTATATTTTTATATTTAATATATCACCTAACTCAACCTCCTATTTCCACACTATCAGGAAATACATCTTGTTGCTGTCTCAAGATGTGTTAAGATATTAAAAGATATAATATAAGTACTATTTGCTAGCCATAAAATATTCGCTGTGAGCTTTAACTGTCTGGGAATACCTAATTTTGTCTGGTAAAATCAGTGTTGTCTTTTATTAAAGGGGGCATATGTGTGTAAGCTATTACTTTTTGGTCAAGGTATAAAAACAAATATCTCTCTTATGTTAAAGCACTCTAGAAGGTCACTGTTTTAAGGGGAGGTGTTTTGACAGAACTGAGCTGGAAGAAGCTCCATAGCCCAGGCTTGAACTCTTGTTCTTCCTGCCTTCATCTCTGGAACTCTAGACTCCAGGCACATGTGGGAGCTTTTGTGTAATAACTTCAAGTATTCTGAGCTTTGGCTGAACAAATATCCCCCTCATTTTAGCAGCAATCCTGCATTTGTAAAATTGTTTTATTGTAGCTACGTTTCTTATGTTGTAGGGGAGATGGAGACAGAAAGCCAGCCTAAGAGACTCTTCCAAGGCACCACCACCATGCTGTCTACAGATGCTGGGCAATTGTCTGATCTCAGTTCATGGTAAAAATGAAGTGAAAAAAAAACTATTAGGATATGACTCATATTAAAAAAAGAAGCACATTGAAAGAATTTTGAGATAATGTAAAATGTACTGCACACTCACATAGGTGTAAATGATATTGAATGAGCAGGTATTTTCAAAGTCCCAAGCACTTCTTTGGAAGTGTATGTGCATCGTTTTTGCACCTTTATTTTGTTCTTAGCTTCAGTGTGGTGTAGTGTCATCTGCTGCCTGGTGTGAGAAAGAGCCTCTGGGTGGCTGTGGAGAAATGCATATTGATTATCACTGCTCTGCTTGCATTTCATACTCCATGCTTTCGACTTCTAAGAGATGGCTGCATTCTCTTAACTGTGTGTATCAGTCAAACTTTTGTTCACCATGACCAAATCCTTGGCACAGGCAAGGGAGAAGGATTTATTTCAGCTCATGGTTTTAGAGGCTCCAGTCTGTAGTTCTCAGGCTCTCGTGGTTCTGGGCCTGTAGTGACACAGATCATCATGGAAGTGGGAACATGTGGCAGAGGCCACTGCCCTTGTGGAAGCCAAGAAGCAGAAAGAAAAGAAGAGACTAGGGATAAGGTATGACTTTCATGTTCATGCTCCCAATAGCTTCCTTGCTCCAGTTGGGGTCCTCCTCCTAAAGTTTCTGTCACTATCCAAAATAGTGCCATTACCCAGGCAACCAAACATTCAAACATTCAACACATGAGCTGGCAGGGGACATTTCATATTCAAAACATTATACCTGTGGTATTTGCTAAGTTATGTGATATCTCCCCCCCCCTCTCTCTCTCTCTCTTCCTCTCTCTCTTGTTTTTTGAGACAAGGTTTCTTTGTATAAAGTCCAGGCTGTCCTGGAACTAGCTTTGTAGACCAGGCTGGCCTTGAACTCACTGAGATCCACCTGCCTCTGCCTCCCAAGTGTTGGGATTAAAGGCATGTACCACCACTGCCCACCGTGATAAAATCTTTCTCAAAATCTTTTTAGAAATTTTTAGTAGTCAATCACAGTTGTGTGTAATCCAGGCTGACCCAGAATGTATACCCCTCCTGCTTTAGCCTTCTGATTCCTGGGACCATGGGCTTGTATCATTAACCCCAGCTTAAATGTGCAGTTTTATAGTAACAGTCACTAATTCTTATGGTTCAGGTCATGACTGATAGTCTGTCTCATTCTAGTTGATGTCTGTAACATAAAGGTTTTCAGTGATTTTTGAAAGAATTGACTTCTTTTCCTATTCTTGAAGTTGAGAAAGATGCTGACAGACGTCTGGGAGGCAGGCATAGTAGCAGTTCCTAGGTCATATTTTGAAATCTTTCAGGATGCTCCACTCAACTTGCTGAGTACCCATATTCTACATATATATTCTATACATTGTGTAACACCTTTTAGGACTTTTCAACCCCGGAGTTTCATAGCTGAGAGGCCTTTTTTAAAAACTTAAGGTACACTCACTTTAAAAATAGAATGGAACCCTCTAAATGGAAGAAATATAAAAGCCACTCACTGCTGTAAGGCTTGACAATTTCTTCCTCCCAAATTGCATGTATATCATTTTGTTTAAGATAGCTTGCACTTCTAAGTGAATAAGTCCTAACATATTGTCATTCAAGAGGCTTGCTGACTGCTACTGTTGGAATGCCTTTTAGATTGTTCCTATTTGTGTCTTCCACTGTCTCTGTGTGTCCTGGGTAGCTCAATTGCTAATTTTGGTCCAGTGTATCCTCCCAGATATGTAGAGATTGCAAAGAGCAATTCCTGAAGCTTGTCAAGAGGACTAGTGGATGAAACTATATACCTGGTGCAAAGTGCATGTGTCTTTTATGGTAAAGTGTGAGTACGGGCACATGACTATAAATAGATTTGCTTACCCAGTTATGTCTCAAGTGATCCAATGAGGAAAAAGTTCACAACATTTTGCCAAGTAGAAAACAAGGAGAATGAGGAGCTGGGTGTGTAGCTCAGTGGTAGAGTGCATATTTAGCTTGTAAAAACCTGTGTATTCCACTTCCATTGTGGCAAAAAGTGCAAAGTCTTTTTTCTTTACATTGCCACAAAATATCAAAAAAAAGCTGATGCAAATTGGAATGCAAGGATAGGGAAGAGACTGTGGGAACACATTCCTGTAATCCTAGCACAATGAAGGCTGTGGTAGGTTGCCATGTTGGAGGCCTGCCGAGGCTACATAGCCTCAACTATATAGTGTATAGCAAACAAAAGAAAACCAGAAGGGGGCATAGCCCAGTGATAGACCACTTCTCTCGCATGCTCACGGCCCTTGGTTTTATCCACAACAATACCAAAATCCAAAACAAAATAAGAAAGAAAAGGCACAGTATGTTTTTCTTTGTGCTCCCCATTCCTGGTCTAGGGACTCATCTTTTATCAGCATAGCTGTGGCAGTGCTGTTGTAGAACCATGAGTAAACCTGTGGTAGCTGTGAGACTCCTAGAGACAGATGAAAGGATCATAGATAGAGTCTAGGAGTTTTGGGTCAGCCTGGGCTACATAGTGAGACCCCTTTCCCCCAAACAAAACAAAAGCAATAACTAAGATGATGGCTCAATGGGTCAGAGCACTTGCTGTGCAAACATGAGGATCCAAGATCAGATCTGCAGCAACTCCATAAAAGCCAGTGCTGGGGGTTGAGGGAAGAAATAGGGGCATCACTGCAGCTTAGTGATTAGCTGGCATAGCTAAGAAACTGAGAGCTTCAGGTTCAGTGAGAGATCCTGTCTTAAGGGATAAGTCCCAGAGAAACCCAGCATCCTCCTCTGGTCTCTCCATGAGCAATAAAAGACATGAATATTCATATGCACACACATGCATGCACTACACACACAAGCCTTTCAACGGGTAGTTAATTAATTTTCAAGTAATTTTTAGATGAATTTGTGGCACCTCAAAGGATCTGAAAGCTTAAAATTGTGTTAAGATCTGCACAACACCTTATATTCTAAGGATGCTAACATACAGGGAAGATATTTCGTGTGAGTTAGTCTTAATAATGAATCTGGATTCTGCTTTTACAGAAACTTCTGTCTCTTAATGCAGTTCCATTGGTCAAAATCATACATGTATATTCTTAGAAATGGGGCCAGAGATAGGAGCCACCTGTGTCCTGATTTCTGTTGCTAAAGATGGCAGTCTACTTGATAGTGATAGTAAGGAAACTTTGTTTTGCTCTCTGTTAGAGAGTGGCTCAAAGACCTGATAACTAGCACATATGATCTCATCTTTTTAACTTTTCTTTATTCCCTGTCCCATCCCACAAAGAGAAGGAAAAGATACATTTTATAGTCTTCAAAGTTTATGTGCTAGTTAATAATCTCTAAAATCTGACATCTTTGAAGCATAAATTAAATTAGAATATTGAATGTGAACCCATTTAGGGTTTGTGTCCATTTGGGCATACTTTTTATTTCCTTTTTTCCCCTAAAAAATCCTGAAATCACTGTCAAAAGAATGTGGGGAACATTGCCACTACAAAGCTGGGATTATGCCATTTTACATTTAGTGTTTGTGAACATCAAGAGTTTGAGCCGAAGTCAGAAGTATGCCTTGTTTGGTACTTCAATTTTTTGTTTTTTGTTTTTGTTTTTCATATTACGAATTCCCCTTTTGTTCCTCATTCAGCTGGAAATAAGACTGTGTGTGTCTGCAGCACCGCAAAGCAAACAAAGGCAATTTTCAGGGTCCCTCCTTAGCCATGTGGTACAGATTAAGTGGTAACCTGTTTTGTGTGTAAAAGGAAAAATTCTCAAATTTTCTTGCCCAATGCATCAGTATTTGATGTAATGCTTAATTTTTGTTTGTTTGTTTTTTTTTTTTTTGAGACAGGGTTTCTCTGTGCAGCCCTGGCTGTCTAGGCTGGACTCAAACTCAGAGCTCCACCTGCCTCTGCCTCCCGAGTACTGGGATTAAAGACGCGTGCCACTATTGCCTGCCTCGATGTTTAATTTTAACATTTTGAGTTAGTTATATAGTTTGAGTCTTCTCATTATATAGTCCAGACTGGCCTAAAATTCAGTATGTAGCCTAGTCTATTCTTGAACATCAGATCCTCCCCCCCTCCCCGCACCTCATGAGTTCTGGGTCTACAGGCATATGTTATCACACTCTAGCTATCATTATTATTTTTAATGTTTTTGTTTTGCTTTTTGAGACAGAATTCTTACTCTGTATCCAAAGCTAGCCTTAAACTCACTATGTAACCAAGGATGACTTGAACTCCTGATGCTCCTACTTCTGCTTCTGAAATGCTGGGATCACAGGCATGTGTCACCACGTCTAAATGATTATTTGTGTGGAGGCATGCACGTGTGGAGATCAGAGGGCATCTTTCAGGAGTTGTTCTGTTCTTTGAACTCAGGTCATCAGACTTAGCAGCAAGTGCCCTTACCCACTGAGCCATATCACCAGTCCTCCTAGTTTATTTTTGATATATATGTATATAATAGTGCCTTGAATGGATCCATTCACTTTCAATTCAGATAGTCCTGGCTAGTTTGAGTTACCTTTGCTTTCCTATGATTGTCTGATTTTTGGCCACTAGTGAAAATAAGGCTCATTATCATTAGCATTCTCATCAGACTTTACATGAGAAAATAAGCAACTCAAATTGGACTGGACTTTTGCTTTTAGAAGCTCTGGTATAAGATGTGATTGTGGGCAATAAAATTACTTTCACACAGTAATCTCTGTGAATTACACAGTTGCACAAGGACCTAATAATGATGGGGTGATATGACCTGTGGCTTCTGCTTTCATGAGCATGTGACCAGATTAACTAGAACAGAAACCAGATCTTAGTTCAGTGGCAATGAACTAAGTTAAGCTTTACTATGTTGTGAAGCTAAATTGCAGTGGAGACAAAAGGTATCTATGCCATTTTTTTCCCATAGTGAGAAAAAGTAGATACTTTTGTGTATAATGGGAAGAAGACATTTTGAAATGTTCAGTGTTTTTTTTTTTCTAATTGGTAATGTCTCTGTCATCTTTTTTATCTTAACTAATCAACAATGTTTAGAAAAGCACTTCTCTGCACAGTCTTACTTTGTGTTTTGGAATGAATACAAGTGCCACCTAAGTAAGCAGGTCTTGTTACAGATGAAATCTTCTAATCCTGGGCTCTATGTCATTCTGGTGCTTGCAACAAAGAATTCTTTATTTATCCTCAGATTATCTGCATGGTGGCCAAGTGTTAATCTAAGTCTCTTTCTTCCTGCCAAATGACATAGAGCATGTCCTTGTGCTGCCCAGCCTGTGTGTGCTTTAGGAAAGTAAATTCATTTTAATATTAGTCTAGGCAAAAAGCTGCAGAGGAAAATTCACATATGTTCCAAAGGCAAACAGAAAGGTCCTTTTGATTTTCCAGTGTCTTGGATTATCTGTGTAACTTTTTTTAAGTTGTTGAATAATTCATATTTTTGGATCAGTTTGCCATGTGGTTGAACAAATACCAGAGCCAACTAAGTTTTCCAGACTTCTTCCTTAAAACTGGTATTATTAATGATGCATTTGACAGCAGTGGACATAGTGGAGGAGCAATGTGGAATATACTATTTCCATTTTTTATTTTGACTTTTCCAAAACCTATTTGTAATCTGTCTCCACCTAAAAAACAACCTGCAGGCAAAAGAAAGAGATGGCAGAGAGGACTGTAGTGTAGCTCCAGTGGTAACGTGCTTGCCCAGTCCTGTGTGAGGGCCTGGGTCCCATCCCTAAATGACATTTTAAAAAATAGGAGTAGAAAAGTGGGAGAGGAAAAATTGCCTTTCAGGAGGATGGTGTATTCTCAAGACTTAAAAATATACTATAAACTTCTCTATAATGGAAACTTACAAAAACAATGTTAAATTCATAGTATCCTGATTGCCTGTATTAGAGCAAAGTGAGGGTTTGCAAAGAAGCTAGTGACAGACTACAGCCCATATTTCCTTGAGTCATAATTCCTTCTCTAAGTCTATGTTTTTCTTCCGTTTCCAAACATAAAAAAGTGTCTGTGTAAACTTAAACTAACAGACTACTCGTCCAGTTTGGCTCTCACTGTGTTCTCTTGACTCTATACTGACTCTGTACTTGCCTGCCTTTAATTCCCAGAAGTATTCTTTCTTCTTCCTACAGCTTCCTGAGTTAATGCCTATTCATCTTTCCCATCAAAACACAAAGCTCACCATGAGAATCCTTTCACAAATCCTCCAGGTTAGATCAGGATACCCATGTGTCAGACTCTCATAGTCCCCCGTTCCTCCCCTTTATCACTCACTTCACAAAATGTAATTATTTTTATGAGCCTGACCATTTAAATCTGTCTCCTCTACTATCCTGTGTATTCAGTGAGGCAGTCTGTCCTTTCTACCATTATCCTTCAAGAAGCTACGTACTTTGTACACTTGGCAGGAGCTTAGTAAATATTAGAATAAGTGAATGAGTAAATTCAAGGCAAACATAAAGCATAGATCCATGACCCCTGGGAATTGAAGCAAGAAAGGTGGCTTGATGTCAAGCAGAGGTTCTCGGTTCCATGTCAAGTACAAAGAAGCCAGGGCTTCAAGGCAGGCCAGATTGGCTTGTGGGACCATGGAGCATCTGGGCTGTGTGGGAAGTGTATTCCTGGGCTTGCTTATAGAGGTGCTTGGTGTCCAAAACAGTTTTAGTGGGAGGATGAAAAGAGAGGCCAGTTGTTTGCATTAAAGAGACCCGTGATGGGGCCATGAGGAAGGAATATTCTAGAAGCTTAACTGGAATGACTGAAGGATGTAAGAAAAGGAGTCCTTTACAGATAGCATGGAGACCTTTGGGTCTGAAAGAAAACAGTATAAGAAATTCACAATATGAGAAGAATAGGGAGGGCATGTAATTAGAGAAGGAAAACATTTTTTAAAATACTTGTATTGAAGTCAATTTTAGGGCAGTTGAAAGAATAGAAGTAATGTGTCTGAAGATACTTAAGCTAGTTTGAGAATAGGTACCTTAGTAAACACCACTTATTCTTGCTCTAAGGCTCTAGAAAAGTAGGAAAATAAATATGCAGACAGAATCTTTTGGGAAGAAGATCAGAAGCCCCCTCACAATTATCATGGCATGTTAATAGGAACACTTATCATGAGTTACATAGCCTTCAAGGGGATGATCAGATTATACAGACTGCAAGTCTTATTCTGTGTTTCCAAGGCTTTATCAATTTCAAAGGTTCCTCAACATAGTACATTATGCATTTCATTGCTGTGGCCTTTATGCTTTTTATTATTTACCAATGCTGTACTGATGTGTGTGTCCTCGAAATCATGTCATTGCATGTTATGTTGACCCTGATACATGCATTCGCTTATAATTCTTTTTGCTTTGTCCTCAGTTCAGATATTTTGGATGGCAGTAGTATCAGCAGTGGCTTGTCCTCAGACTCACTGGCTACAGGCAGCGCTCCCGCAGAGTCTCCAGTAGCATGCTCCAATTCATGCTCTTCGTTCATCTTGATGGATGATCTCTCACCCAAGTGACTTAACCATTTCTGATTCAATGTTTTAACTATTTCCCACATAAAACATTCTGTGGGGAATGCAGAGAACTTTGATCCACAATGGGGATTAAAGTTTGGCGCATTGTAACCATTCCGATGCTCCTATTTCTGGGCATCTCTGTCCTCTGAAGTTCAATTTTGCAAGCATAGTCACTTTACTAACATCTGTTTTGGCTGATCTCATTTTGTGTTTGATAACTAAATCTCAAATACACAGTTTTGATTGCTTAGGGGATTTTTTTTCTTGGTGCCTCAAAGAGCACCGACTTTCAAACATTTAAGGGGGGGCACTAATGTGTATCTTCTATGATTGTTCTTTTCCCTACTGGTGACATAACAGAGGTGATCAGAAATTCTCTTGCTTGAGAGATTTATAAAAATTCTTTGTTGACTACATATTTTCCCATCTCTTTATTTCACAGTAATATTCAAATTTCTTTGGATTATATCAAATTTTTGTTGTTCTGCATCAGCTTAAAATACATTATTTTGTTTTCATTTCTTGTCTGAGCTGCTTACTTGCCATCTCTCACGGAGGGGAAGAAACCCATAGTCGCTTCCATCACTGCTCTCATTGCTTCTTTGCTGTTGGAATGTATGCAGTGAAGACTGACTTTAGAGTGGAGAATGTAAATGGATGTACAGGATGCTTCATTAGTCACCTCAGGTCCTTAGGACTTTGCTACCACAGTTGCTGTTTCTCTCCCCAAACCTGCTGCCCTAAGGAATATATAAAATATTGTTGATATTTCTAGGTGGTGTTATCAAGGAGAAGAAATTCCTGCCTTGACCAGATGTGTGGAGCATCTCCAAATGAACGAATAGTTATTTACACAAAGCACTGTACAAAAGCAAGCATCCATGAAGCTGTCAGTGTCTCGGGGTAGGATTATGAGGCCTTAGGTGCCTTGGGGTACATTGCTGTGCTGTAGGGGACATATATCATAAGGTCTTGTGGAAATGGAAGCTTTCTGTAAGTGAGTGCAATTTTGTTTGATTTTTTTTCTGATTCCTTTTTGTCACTGAGTTTGTTTTGTCATTGTGGTGACTGGTGGATTTTTTTTTTTATTTGGTTTTGGTTTTGGTTATTGTGTTGTGCTATAGTCAGAACCCAGTTCTTGTTCTTGTCGCCCTATAGAGGGCAGTTTAGTATCTGTAAGGAAGCTTTGAGGAGGCACTGAAAAGGTCAGTGCTACTGTGCCCCCTGCTTCCAGATATTTCTTGAGCTCTAAGCAGTGTATATGCAGTGTGACGTAACATATGCTGTGTCATTTTGACAAGAGGAAACTCCTGACTAAAATATTTCAGAAATCCAAGTGTGATCTATTGTGACATTATTTATTATTTATTACACTACGTAGAATGTCCGTGTTGTTAGATTTCTTTGAATGTTGAACATGGTGGGTGGACTATTTGTTTAATATTCACACTTACCTGCTAGAATCGTGATACTCTGTTTTTAAGTGAATGTAAGAAAGAAACAGAAAATGATTAAGCTTAAGTCTTTTGAAATCTAAAATCCTTAGAGGTGGTCTGAAGACATTCACAGACTAGAAATTAGTGTGCTTGAAGCAAAACCTCTCTTCTAATCATTAGAGAACATCACTTAGCTTGCAGCAGTTCCATTATAGAATCAGGTCTGTTCTTAAGTTTACATTGTAATCACTGTCATAACGGCTATTAATGGCTTTAGCTCCCATGTTGCTTTAGCCTGTGAAAAGCTCATAATCCTTCAAACTTAACATAAATGTGCTGTTATAAGAATCGCCCCCTTGTGTGCCATTTTAAAGAAACATTTCTTTGATGGCACTTGGTGTATCCACTCTGTTAATGAACCGTGTTCAAAGGCTTTTGCCTTAATAATGGTAAGAGATGGCTTTGTCTTTCAGAATATTTGTCTGCCTTCCCTCTTCTGTCTTATTTCCTTAAAGGGACCCTTCTGAGTTCAAATTTAGAGTCCAAATTTAGAACTGTTAAGAAATAACCTTTGAAATGTGATGGTATTTAACCATGGTAAAAATTCAGTGGTAAGGTACAGCTGTAGCAGAAAACTGAAATTGTTTAGATGAGTATGATGAGACTGAAGAGGCAGGGGGACTCACCTTACTGTTTTAAGCCAAATCTTTCATTAATGAATTTAATTGTTTTAGGTTTTTCTCTGTCAATTTCATACATTCATATAATTCATTCTTAGTACTCTCACTCCCTACTCTCTCTCATGTCACTCCCACCCCGTCAATCCCCAAGTTCCTTTGCCACATTCTTGTCTTTTCCTTTGTAAACTAACCTTTTGTTAGTGTTGCCCTCTCTATTGTTTAAGTGGACAAGAAAGCTAAGTTTGTGCAGGGCTTGTTTGGAAATGAAAGATGGTAATATGCTAATTGACAGGAGCTTTGTTGCCAGTACCCCTTTATTTTTATATAAAGTCTAATATTTGCAGTGTAGTTAGTGTTATAAAGTAAAATTCTTTCTTCCTATTCTCATATTATATCATATATTTTAAGGTTCTATTTGAAAACTAGTAGAAGAAATGAAACCATAATAAAATCCTATAGTTACTGGTTTTGCTTGACTGACTTACAAATCACTGTTTTATGATAACTGCTTTTGGAATAATAGAAAGTTTTGTGAAATGTTGACCTAGTGTATAGCTTAATATTGTGAATTTAATAAAGCATATATACATGTATAAAAAGACAATATTTTACAAGTCTGCCTCTCTTATTCCTGTTGATAATTATTTTCTGTCACCATATCCAAGGAGCTTATTCTCTGTTTCTGGGAGTAGGTTAAGTTTTGAGTGTAAGGGTTTTCTGCACACAGAAAAACTAAGATAGCTATATTCAAGTGTAAGCCAGCTGTTCCAGCGCAGAAGAAACCTGTCTACATGATCTGTCAATTTCTTTAGAGTATTTTGTCACATATAACTGTTTAGACAGCTTTTGCCATGCTGTCGTATTTCTTTCCTGTTTTCAATTTATGGGTGTCATTTGAGGGGCTTGGGAAACTCACAGAAACAGCTGACTTGAGTAAGTGAGAAAGCTCAGGGACCTGTCTGACAGCTGGGGGACCTGCATAAGACATAACCAGGCCCACTGAACGTGGGTGTCAGTTGTGGGGCTTCGGCAGTCTATGAAGCTGCTGGCAGTGGAACCAGTATTTATCCCTAGTGCTAAAACGGGCTTTTGGAGTCCATTCCATATGGAGAAATACTCTCTCAGTCTAGATACACGGGGGAGGGCCTCAGTCCTGCCCCAAAAGATGTGACAGACATTGAGGATCCCCATGTGATGCCTCACCCTCTCTGAGGCATGGATGTGGGGGTGGAATGGGGGGTTGGTGGGGGAAATGGGAGGGTTGGAGGGAGAGGGAACTAGGATTAGTATATACAATAAGATTGTTCTTAATTTAAATAAAAATTAAAAGAAACAAAAACTTTTATGTTTTAAAAACCTATTTATAAACTTCTATAAGAAGGCAAAAATATTCCATTGTTTTTTTTCCACTGAGAAATTTGCAGGAAAATGGATGGAACTAGAAGAAACATTCTGAGCGAGGTAACTCAATCACAAAAAGACAAATATGGTATGTACTCACTCATATGCAGATTTTACACATAGAGTAAAGGATTACCAGCCTGCAATCCACACTGCCAGAGAAACTAATAAACAAGGAGGACCCTAAGAGAGACATACATGGTACCCTGGAGAAGGGGAAAGGGACAAGATCCCCTGAGCAAATTGGGAGCATGGGAAGAGGGAGAGGGAGCTAGGAGAATGAGAAGGGGAGAAGAGGAGGCATGCAGAGGACATGAGGGAGCAGAAAGGTTGAGTCAGGGGAAGAATAGAAGATAACAAGAATGGGGATATCATAATAGAGGGAGACATTTTAGGTTTATAGAGAAATCAGGCACTAGGGAAATGTCTGGAGTTCTACAAAGATAACAG